GGTGCACCACCAGTTAATGAACTTGGTGTGGAACTTTAGTTGGAGCTAAGTGATCTAGATGACACTTAGAATGCCAACAAAGAGTTCAAGGAGGAGAAAGGCTAGTTTTGGTGTGAGAAAGAGCGCATGAAACAAATGACAAGTGCTGGGGGTCTGTGGGGAAACGGGCCCTCCCGCACTGCAGGTGGGAGTGCAGTCTGGGGCAGCCGCTGTGGAAAACAGCACGAAGATGCCTCAAAGACTAGGAACAGACTTACCATATGACCCAGGAATCCCGCTCCTGGGCATATGTCCAGAAGGAACCCTACTTCAAAGAGACACCTGCACCCCAATGTTCACAGCAGCACTAAGGAAACAGCCTAAATGTCCATCAACAGGTGACTGGATAAAGAAGATGTGGTATATTTATACAATGGAATTCTATTCAGCCATAAAAACCGACAACATGACGCCATTTGCAGCAACATGGACGTCCCTGGAAAATGTCATTCTAAGTGAAGCAAGCCAGAAAGAGAAAGAAAAATACCATATGAGATCGCTAATATGCGGAATCTAAAAACAAAAAAACCCATAAATACAAAATAAACAGACTCATAGACATAGAATACAAACTTGTGGTTGCCAGGGGGACGGGGGGTGGGAAGGGATAGACTGGGACTGCATTCGTTTTAAGAAAAAAATATTTGTACTTTTCCTGTTATAAACTGGAATGTACTTTTGTAAGCCTGATAATAACCTTTTTTGTTTGTTTATTCCATGTTTTAAAGGAAGGTTTATAGTTGAAATGGGGTCTATCAGACATTGGTATAGATCCTTGTCAGAATCTTTTGAGCCCAAAGGCAGAGGAAAGGGATAAATTTAGGCTGTACATTTACTTGACCAGCTAAGCGATCCAACAGATTGAAGGAAGTGAAGAGGTACACACTTTCCTTGAAGATAAAACTTTCTTTGTTTCTCTGTTTGATTTGAAATGACTGGGACAGGGTACCGTTTTGTGTGCAGAAGCCAGGGCACGTTAAATCTGAAGGCTGCACCATTTAAAGAAGAAAGGGGGGGTGGGGGGCTATAACTTGATTTCCTGGCTTTGGGCCCTTAGGAGAGCTACTGATTCACTGAGCTCTGTTTTGGCATTGTGCTTTCTGTTAATGCTGAGAAATGTTGCAAGAACTACAGAAAACCTATTATATTTATTACAAGGCTGTCACTGATGAGCTTAATAAAATAAAGTGGTCACCATCATTACTACCCCTCAGGGGGGCTATTATCATCTCTATTTCACTAGTGAGGAAAAGCGATTGAGAGAAATTATCCAAGGTCACACATGGAGTAACCGGCAGAACCAGTATCTGAATAACCAAAGCCCACTTGTTCACACCAGACTTAACCGAATTCTTTTCATTATACTATGTGGACTGTTTAATATACCTCTGATACATATCCTCAGTATATACATATTTAGTGAATTTAATTAATGTTTTATTTATGTACAAAGATCATCCTGAAGCATGCTGAAGCTAGTTTCTCACAGGTACGGGGTAACCGTAACGAGAGCGAACACCGGGCGACGAGCATAGCGGGTTCTGTTCTAAGCAAATGTTATCTCATTTAATCCTTATACAACCTGAGAGGTAGATACTATTAAACGTTGGTACTTTACAGACAAGAAGCTGAGGCACAAAGTCAAGTAACAGGCCAAAGTAATACAACCAGTAAGTGGTAGAGACGTGAACCCAGGCAGCTGGACTCTAAGCACCCATGCTATACTGCCCTTCATTAGGGTTTTAGAACTAAAAAGGACTTTACCAATTTAGATAGCCCCAAACCTCTCATTCTGTGGAAGAAACTGAGAACAAGAAAAGTGAGACAGCCTGCCTTAAGGCTGCTCTCTCAGCTGTCCACTGGCAGAACGGAACCAAGTAGCCTCTAGTCGTGTGGGTTTATCCTGCCCCCTCCTTCGTCCAGCACCGCTGGTCCTCAGCCAGCATCTCGCAGAGGAGAGCGAGGACGGCCTTGACCTGCCCGCTGGTCAGCCCTGTGTCCAGCACACAGTGACTGCTGTATAAGGGATGATCAGTGATGTCACAGAACGGCAGAGCCAGGACCACAAACCAGGGCCAAGCCCACAGCAGTCTTCCTCATGCTGCCTTCTTTAATACCAAACCAAATGCTATAAAATGCAAGTTATTCACACCTGAATTTGTCTTGGCACGTGGGTTATATCCATACTTCTGGAAAAACTCTCTTATTTTCATGATATCCATTGAATTTTCTTCATCAATACTTTTGTTGCCTTTATGAAACCAATGCTGTCTTGACTTTCCAAAGTTGCTTTATCAAGAAGAGTACTGACATCATCCTTTCATGAGGAAAGAAAGTGCATTTTAATTTAACTTCTGACTAAGTCTATTTAGATTTTTTAAATTATCACATAAAAATGATAAATTAATACTGTAGGAGTGATACCTTTAGAGTCCGGACTTCCGAATGAAGGTCATGTAAAACTCTCATTGGATAATCTTCAAAGTCTTCAATATGAATATTGAAAGGAAAAAGTATAATAAAGGGAAGGAGGAAAAAGAACAAAAAGTATAATTTAGGATAGTTTCTTAGAATTATAAAGTCTTTGTAGATACTATAATTTATATCCTGTCATTTGCAAAGAGAAGTGTTAAGGCCCTCTTTAAAATTTTTATTACACTATAACATACAGAAAGTACAGAAGTCATAAGCATATAGTTTGATGACGTTTTAAAGTGAATATACGTATATAATCAGCACTCAGCTCAGGGCGGGAGGGAGGAGGAAATAGTCTCACTCAGCAACTTTTTCCTTTATGGTGAGCATTTTTTGGCTTCTATTTTTAAAATCTCTGCCATGACAAATACTTTTGTTTTCTTCTAAGAGTTTTACTGTTTTGCCATTTGTACTTAGAGCTACAGTCCATCTAGAATTGATTTTTGTGAGTGGCATGAGGTAAGGGTCAAGATCCACTCTCCTTTTCCACGAGTGTCCAGCAGACCTGGCATCCCTTACGCACCCTTCTTACTAATCAGCTGGCCACATATATAATGTAAAAGCCATTTATGAAAAGATTTCTCTTTTCTAAAACATGCCTCCTTTCAAGATCTTCTCTTATACCACCTGTTAAAGTTGACCAGTTTTCATTAGGGAAATGTAAATCAATGATATTGTACTTCATACCCACTAGAATAACTAATAATCAAAAAGACAGATGACAACAAATGTTGCTGAGGATGTGGAGAAACTGCAACCCTCATTCATTGCTGGTGGAAATGTACAAGGGTGCATCCACTTTGGTGAATAATTTGGTAGTCCTCAAAAAGTTAGATATAGCTTTACTATGTGACCCAGTAATTCCATTCTAAATGTATACCATGAAAACTGAAAACATTATGTTCACACAAAAACTTGCACATGTTTATAGCAGCATTATTCTTAATAGCCAAAAAGCAGAAACAACCCGTGTTCATCAGCTGCTGAACAGATAAACAAAATGTGGTAAATCCATACAAAGAAATATTATTCAGCAATAAAACTAATGAAATACTGATACGTGCTACCACAACATGGATAAACCTTGTGATGTTACGCTAAGTGAAACAAGCCAGTCACAAAAGACTATGTACTGTACAATTCCATTTATGTGAAATGTCCAGAATAGGAAATCTATGAGGAGAGAAAGTAGATGAACAGGTGCATAAGGCAGTGTGGTGAGTGGGGGCAGGACTATGGCGAGTGGCTGTTAACAGCCAAGGGGGCTCTTTTAGGGGTGATGAAAATATGAACCTCACGTGATGATGGTTGTACAACTCTGTGAATAAACTAAAATCCACTGAATTGTATCCTTTAAATAAGATTCATCACTGTGCACATAAAAGGGCAATTATGGGTGTTCATTTTCTCTAATTATCACAATTCCATAATTTCCGTAATACATATGGGCCAGGAACTGAAAAATTATTCCAATTTTTTCCTTGTAAAAGCAAAAGTAAATAAAGAATTTGTGTACACAGGTAATATGGCGGTAAGAAGGTAAATTAGCGCAAGCTTTATGGGAAGCAATTCAGTTATATATCAAAAATTCAAAAATGTTAATACAATTTTGTGTCTTCCAGCGTAATCTCAACTATGTAAACAAAATCAAAAACAGAGCAATGCTAAAGAATGGTAGAAAAATTTCTAAAATATTAATAGTAGTGTCTTCTTATGCTGCATTTACAGGAAAAATATTTTTTCTTCTTTCACTTTTCCATTATCTCAGACTTTTGCTGTGAACATATATTGTTTTCAGTCACAGTAAAAACAGTTTAAAATGGCTGGAAAACTATTCACGATAGAAAGTAAAAGGAGTCTGCGTCCACCGGGTGCAGTGTTTTAAGGCACATTACAATTACGACACTTAGAAAATAATCTCAAAATCTGAACTGCTCTGGCAACAACTTCCAAAATCCTCTAACGCACACGTTGGTGGTGGAGAATCGTGCTGCACTCGTTGTCTGAAAAGCAGCACGGAGGAGCGGCGTCTGTGCCGGCCCCGGGCCCCGGGGGGGACGGGCCCCGGCGGCGGGAGGCACGCGGCGACAGGAGAGCTTTGACCCGCGAGCCCCTCGCACGCGCCGGGGAGCGCCGCGGCTGTAACTCGCGGACCCGGCCCGCAGACGCGGTCCGACACCGCGCGCCCGGCGGAGGGCGGGCCCCGCCTCGCTCACCGCTGTCCTCTCCGTCCAGCGCCCGCTGCAGCCGCGCCGTCTCGCTGTCCAGGGTGACAGCCAGAGTCCGCAGCCGCCCGCAGAGGCTCCGGATCAGGTCCATGGGAGACCGCAGCCCAGCGCGCGGGGGCGCGGGGAAGCCCGGAGCTCGGCCTCGGCGCCCGCACTCTTTTGAATGCCGGCGCCAGTAGCACCATTGGCTCCGCCAGCCGCTCAAATCTCTTCTCGCGAGAGCTGAGGTTTCGCTAGGAGACGGGAGGCGCGGCGGAGCGGCGCACTTCCGGCGTCGTGTAGTCGCACTTCCGGTGTCGTGTCGGGCGGCGTGCGAAGAGGCGGCGGGGCAGGCGCACGCAGGTGAGTTGCTTCGCGTTTCGCGGCTTGGCCTGCGGACGGCGGCGGGCTCCCCTCTCCCCGCGGGGGCGGCAGCGCGCGTTCCCGGCGACCGGCGCGCCGCTAGGTCCCCGCCTTGTGTCCCGGCAGGCGCCATGTTCCTGACCGCGCTGCTCCGGCGCAGCCGCATCCCCGGCAGGCAGTGGACCGGGAAGCACCGGCGGCCGCGGCCCGTGTCCGACTAGGCGAAGCGAAACATGGTCCGCCGCCTGGAGACCGAGGCGGAGAACCACTACTGGCTGAGCCGGCCCTACCTCACGGCAGAGCAGGAGTACGGCCACGCCGCGGCCCGCAGGGCGGCCGCTTTCGAGGCCATCAAGGCGGCGCAGGCGGCCCGGTTCCCGGCGCACAGATCCGTGGAGGCCCAGCTCGCCCACCTCGACGTCACCAAGAAGTGGTCCTGATCGCGAGCCACCGCAGCCGGCCGAGGGACGCCTGGGAGCCCGCGGGCGGCCTGTGGAGCCGCCGGCGCCGCGAGCGGACTGTCTGCGGACGGGGGTCCGGGACTCCGCGCTCCCCGCCGCCCCGAGGCTCGTCTCGGTCGTGTCGGTTTCACTTCTCTCCCCGATACGAGGAAAGCAGGAGGGCCCTGGTCACGGAGGGTGCACGGGTCTGCAGTAAAGCCACAGGCTGTGTTCCGGCTCCTGTGCTTCCGTGGGAGGTGCTCGCTGGGGCTTTGTGGTGCAACGTTAGTTCGTTTACCTTCTGTCAGAAATAGTTGCCTGAACGTAAATGAAGAAGTGTGCTTTTTCAATTAAACATACTCTTGAAAACTGCGTTTTCTTCTGGGATTTGCTACTAAAAGTGGACATTTAAATGAAGTAAAGACGTATTTAGCAGAACTGTCCACTTAGGTGTATTTAAAAATCTTTATTGGGATATATTGACATCATACAGTTCACCAGTTGAAGACTTTTTTTCAAATCTTTTTATAAATATGATAAAAAACGTCAAGTGGTTTGCATGTGTTACCAAATACAGTAATCCTGTCACTTGGAACTGTTTTACATACACGGAAACGTTTAAGAAACTTGTGCAAAATCACTCTTCTAGGAATGAGAGCAACTTGGATTTGAATTACTGTATAATCCAGAAATCTCAGCTGCTGTGCATTGTTTAATAGGAAGTTTTCAAAACACAGAAGAAAATACAATCCCATTACCCAGAAATGAAAGAATCTTCATATATAACTTTTCTTTTAGTCTTTTTATACACATTAACTTTTTGAACATACATTGATTGAGATAAAAGGAATTGGGAGCCAGAAAAGATTTCAAGATTCTGATGCATATTGTCAAATGGCTTCCCAGAAAGTAAAACAGCAAGACTAATGGATAAGAGTGCCAGCCTTGAATGTTCTTTTCATTAACAAAAATGCCGTATTTTGTTAACTACATGGTTCACATTTTTAATATCTTCCATCAGTATGTGTAGGGTATAGTGCAGACCTTAATTTTTTTTAATTCATTTCACTTGAGGTAACTGAAACGTGATAGCTGAATGTATAACCACGCTGAACTGTTACTAGTATGTCAAATTCTTGGTGGCATATACTTAGAGCCCACAGGAGTGTCTGTGGTGAATATGGGCAACCTAGTATATCTTTTATATCTGGAGATGCTGTTTAGGTGATGGGAAGAGGATGCGGGGAACCTGCTTCATACCACAGCCACTTCTATTGCTCCAATCTCTACATAAGTCAGAAACTTCCTTACACTTTGGAGTTTGAAAAATTAATGGTTAACTTGAATCTCAGAGAAGCAAAAGGATGCTAAAATAAAACACTGGGTCTGAAGGAAGAGAAGGTGATTCATGAGAAGAGAGGCATTTTAATGTACAGTTAATCTTATTTAATTTTAGATAATCTTGTGAAATAGATATCCCCACCGCACAGGTTAGAAACAGGCTCAGAAATGTCAGCAGTATTCCCGTTAACACAGTTAAACAGTAAAGGTAGAGCTCAGGACTAGGTTTATGTCAAGACCACATTCATTTAATATAGCACACCAGCTGCTATGAATAAAAGATTGTAGCTTTGTTTCAGTCACTTCTCAGCCAAGGCAATGCTGTAAAACGTTTGACTTTTGAAAACTCCGCAACTTGATGCCACAGCCATCGTAAATTTTTTTTAATACAAAGCTCACTGCCACTCGAGCTGTTCACAGTCACACATACAGTAAACCATCTGTGTCAGCCTGTGCACTATGAACATTCCCTAGCTTCTTTCCCTATTGCAGCTCCTGGGGTTTCCATCCAGTTGCTCATGTCTCATATTTGTAGAGGGTTGGTCACAAGTCAGACCCGGTGCTGTTAGTTTTGAACCTCAAGTTTACTGTCTCACTTGATAAAATGCAGTGTGATGACTGACTGCAAGGATGAAGAGTCCAGGGAATAGGCCATTTATCAACCGTGCCTAAGCAGTCAGGAGGAGGTGACCGCTGAGCAAATTTTTAGCTTGCCTGGCAAGCAAATGGGTGGCAGGAATCACAGGCAGAGGTGATTATTCGTGGGCTTGTCACAGTTTAGTACTGATGCAGTGTAGTGAGGAAGAGCAACGGTAGACAGTGAGGCTGAAGACGTGGCCAGGGACTAGAGCATGGAAGGTGTTGTGTGGCACCTGAAGTTTGGCTTTGACCGTGGAAGTAATGGGGACTCGTGGAAAACGTCTAATTAGTGGAAAACACTGTCGAGGGGGCTTGTTGGAGGAAGACTCTGGGAACAGAGACCTGGTGGCTGTTACAGTAATCAGCTATGTACTGAATTTGTATGGTGGGTACAGAGTTTAAGAGGCAGAATCAACAGAAGTTTGTGGCCTACTGTACGGCTCCTTATTTCCTAGCGTAGTCACTGGAAAACTCCCTTGATGAACTAACTCTACCATCTGCCTTTCCTTGTTTGAAACCTACTTGGTTGCTGAATGTTGCTGTGGGAAGTCACATAATTAGGGTTATTTGTTTCTGTCTAAATTCATGACCACGAGCCACGGACCAGAACCCAGCTGCGCAGTCGCCTTCCCATGTGTCGGCCTGCTAGGCCTGCTGTGACGGAACCCCGCAGTCTGGGTGGCTTAGACAGCGGCCATGTCCTCCTTCCTCCCAGTTCTAGAAGCCAGAAGGCCAGGTCAGGGCAGGTCAGTGTTGTCAGGGGGCTGCAGGGAGGCTCTGTTCCAGCCTCCCCTCTGCTTGCATGTGGCTAACTTCTGTCTTCATGTGCTTGTCCCACCGTGTTGACACGTTTGTATCAATGTGTGTCTAAATGTCCTCCTCTTGTAAGGACACCAGCTGTACTAGATTAGGGCCCACCCTCACAGCCTCATTTTAATTACCTCTTTAAAGACCTTATTTCCAAAGAAGGTTAGCTGGAAGTTAGGACTGCAACATAAGAATTTGGGGGAACACAATTTGGCCCGTGAGTGTTCTTCTGATTGGTGCAACTTCCTCCCTACTCAGTGAGGTAACTCTCACCTTTTCTGTCCAGGAGCCTTCCATCTGCAGGCCCTCCTCCATCCCACTCTCAGCCAGGGACCCAGCCTCAGTCACTGACGGAACCGAAGCCGTCCGCGCGAATGCATCCCCCTCCACGGCACCGGACCTGCTGCGTACGTCCTCTTTTCGCCTGTGTTCGAACGCTGCGGCAAGGCCTCCTTTACAATGATGAACGGAACAGCTTCTCTCTTCTCTCTCCCAAAACTTTGGTGAGATGACAGTAACGAGAGTTTAGAAATACTTAACCCTTGAGAAGGAAGGGAACGAAAGTAGATTTCAAGGGATATTTTGGAAGAAAAAAGATGGATAGAGATGTCTGACAATTAAGGGAAGAAAGCTGTGACCTAAATAAACGCCTGTAGAACAGAGGCAGCGAGCCCCCCAACAAGGAAGCTCATGTGGGAGGCCCCTGGATAATGGGCCCCAGCAGAGCTAGCGTAAAACAAGGGGAAACGTGGAATGGACGTGGAGGAGCCGGGGACAGCATTACCAGCACCACGGTCCTGAAGCTGAAAAGTCGGCAGGTCCAGACAAGCAGGAGGATGGAGGACTCAGGAAGGGAGGTTCTCTAGGAAACGGCAGAAATGAGGTGTTTGAGTTACATGTTGGCAGGACCACGTAATTTTAGTAAGGCTGCAGGATAAAAGATCAGTAGTCAAACTGGGACATTACGCATTACACCAGCGACTGACACATTGTAAATGACTGTACTTCAAAAGAAGAGACCAATAGTCACAAATTGTATTTTATATACCACCAATGAACAAGCAAATTGAAACTAAAAGTGCCACTTTCAGTAGTTTTAAAAATATTACTTAGGGGGTGTGGGATGGGGGTGGAAGGCCACCTGGCCGTGGGTCACCCCCCCAAATTACTTAGGGGTATGTCTGAAAAAAGATGTGCAATACCAACACACTGAAAACTACAAAGTGAGAGAAAGAAATCCGAAGGAAATGGAGGGAGACCCTGTGTACACTGGTCAGAAGACTCAATATGATAACTATTGCCAGTTCTGCCAAAACTAATCTGTAGTTTCAATGGAATCCCAATTAAAATTTTAAAATTAAAACACTTTGTTTGTGGGTAGAAACTGACTAGCTGATTCTAAAATCCACATGGAAAGTCAGAAGACCTAGAATTGCCAGAAAAACTGTGAACAGGAAAACCAAAGAGGAGGACTTACGCTGCCTGGTTTCAGGAGTTACTATAAAGCTGGGGCGATCAAGCAGCGTCAGCGTTCAGTGTGGACGACGAGTCCACAACAGGAGGAAGTCCTCAACAATTCATAATCGAGTGGGTTGACCTGAAAATGTGTCTATGGCTGACAGAAGTATTCCAGGCAGCACAGACGTCAGTGTGGCTTGGAGGCCCTGAGGAAGTGCGACGGAGGTGAAAGCCGGGATGAATGGATCGCCTCACGGAGAACACGCAGGGAGGAGGCGTTCTTGGTGGAACAGCACGTGATAAGTCAGAGTAGAAACAGCATTCCAATCCCCTTTATCACACACAAGGAAATGACACAGAGCAGTTAAAGTCAATGAAGTTAACTTCACAGGATTGCTCACACACCGTGGAAACCTGCTACACAGAAGAAACCAAGAGAGCTCTCACCCCTTTAGCTCCTGGGGCACAGGAGTGGGCAGAGCCGGCGACCGAGGCCAACATCACCAGACGTTCCCAGAGCGGCTCCCAAGGGCCAGCTTAGGGGAAACGAGGGAAGTAAGGCCCCCGTGGCGTCATCGGTTCTGCTCTTTGGGTGTCCAAGCCCCCAAAAGTTTGCTTTATCTTTACTGACCTATACTGGTTCCTGCAGGTATTCTGAAACGTTACTGCTGGGAATCATAGCTCTGTCTCACAGCTTTCTTGTTTTATTCAGCTGCCTTAAATGTCAAAACTTTGTTCCTTTGGAAGGGAGCTGGAGCACAAATTCTTGTGTAGAAAAGAATTCTACAAAAGATAAAATCTATTACTCGGCATTTCAACAATCACAAGTCGGTAACTTCTATAGTGTCGAGGGTACTTACAATCCTAAAGTGACTTCTGAATCGAAACTTAAATTATGTTTTCTCTCGCTCCCTCGTCCTCCGAGATGGCCAGCACTATGTCTATATCTATGGGGTTTGTATCTCTCTGAATAAATCAACCTTTACTCAAAAAAAAAAAAAGAAAGAAAGAAAAAAATTATGTTTAGTTAAAGCTAAGTTAAAACCACTGTGAATAAAGCAATCTGTACTCCTGGCCTAAGAAACTACAATGTTGCTGCACTCAAATAATTCCTACCTTAGATGTGGTTACGCCAAACTGCCAGCCAGACCTCTTTCTCTAACTAAACACTGTGTGTTACTAGATTTCCATAATGACTAAAATAATGGTTATTCTCTCATTTGGTAAATGCCACTTATAACAACAACAACAAAAACAAAAACTTCAAATACAGGATTTTGTTTATTAATAAAGTAAATCATGATGATGATTTCTGGGAAGAAATGTTTTAAAAATGTTCCGCCTTCATGTTAATGTAGGTTAGGCCACCCAAAAGACAAAGCAAAGAGTTAACATTAAGTCATGGTCCAAGGTTACACTTATGAGAAACAAATACAAGACTTATGGGACTTAGTAAGTAAAGACCATCAAAGTAAACTGTATTTCAGATGTGTTTATATAAAAACATATTAAAGATCACTTTAAAATAGTGTCCATCTTTTCTTTTAAATGGGCATAGACTCATCTGCAATCATGTACAAATACAATAAACCCAACAGCTTTCTTAAGCTTTTAATACAAATACAATTCCTCCTTTATGCAACCGAACAAGATAATACAAAATGAAGTTGTTAGAAAAATATGGACCTTTCTGAATCTATATTGCATTTTTAATTTAAGTTGTAAAATACAGTTCAGATCATATGAAACACATGAATTTCAGGATTACAGATTAGCTATATCTTACAGAATAGTAGCTATGATCTTTATGTTGGCTGAAATGCAAAAATATGATTAATTTCTCAATAACAGATTAGTTAAAAATACTTTCCATTGACAGCAGTGCCAGTCCTAGAACAAAATATAAGTGAAATGTATTTGTAAGTCTTATGTCTTTTCATTGCCCCAAGTATGCAGATCCTAACACTGAGCCCTTAATATGCATCTGCAAGATGACCGAAGGGAAAGCTCACATGTCTGGAAAACTGTGATTTAAACAATCCTGTAAACAGTCAAAATTTGCTTTCTAATAGAAGCAGAATTCAAGTAAACATTGCATATTTGATTTAAACTAACTTTACAGTTAACTTATGACATGAGATCATAACCACTAAATATGTAAAAGGGTTTTAAGAAAACCATGCATCTGCAGAGATGAAACTGAACTATGCCGAGTAACCACGTGCTGCAGCTGCTCCTGGGTTTGGCACAGTGACGGTGGTCAGACGCCTCAGGGACAGAATGTTCAAGTACACGCCCAGGTAAAACCAAGTTTCCTGTCTAGTTTGTTTTTAATGTGAAAAGCAAGACCTGGAATTCAACCTTATTCTCCTTAAATGTCATCACAACTGTTCAAGTGTTTGAAAGACCAAAGGTGGTACTAACACATTCTGACGAGGCTCATTTCGGCCATTTCTCCCCCAAGGAGCTGACAGCACGACTCAACACAAGCTGAACTACCCAAGAGGCAGCCCTTCCCGGATCCCCACACGCCTGCAGGCCCTTGCTCAACAGTCACGAGTATGTGTGAGCGAACTCAGCCAAAAATTATTTAGAATGTGGCAAATGTTGGCCATGAATTAATTAAACCAAAGATAACTAAAGTAAAAGGCTTTCGCTGAAAATTTCTGAAAAGGTGTTTACTACTAAAAATGATGTTAAGTAACAGAAATTAAAAGAAAACACACTAACGCACCCAAGCAGGCTGAGGGGAAAGGTTAAGCAGGTGCCGGCCAGTCCTGCGACCTCAACGCAGAGATACCCACAAGCACCAGGAGGACGTGTCTGAAAGCATCACATGCGTTCAGACATTGTCATTTCCTTGTAACATGCAAACTGCCAAACTTAAGTGTCATTTCTGGTTGGTAACTGATGCCCCCTAACTCTCATACAAAAGTTTTCTAGAATCAAGACTATTAAGACCGCAGAGTTGAAATAAAGGTGGAAGAAGCCATATTATACAGCATTTCAAACTGCATTTTCAAAGCCAGCCCATTCCTCTGGTTCAAAGAGAAAAAAAAGTTACTTCCCTTTAAAATCTAATATTAGCATAGCCCACAGAATTAGACAAATCCTGTAACTGTAAACCTGGAGCATGTGGCTGTAAAACTTACGCTGCATTAGGAAATCACAGAGCTATCTCTAGTATATTGCTTGGCATCCAGAAGGAACTACACAAATACTTGTTGGATGGATGTCATACGGTATTGTGAGAATTACAAACTGAAGACTGTTAGAGGGCACCCAGCCCAAGTCATGCCAACAGCCCGGCCCTAGCCCCACTCTACAGACAGGAAACTGTAATCGTGACACACACAGATGGCGCTAAAAGCGGCCTCATTACAGAAGTGATCAGGCGTGTGCGCGTGCCCGGCTAAGCAGAGTGGATGAGGAGGGACGGCGGCAACATCTGTGCAGTCTCTCCTTTAAAGGACGCTGTTTTTCTTCAGAATTAATGCGACAAGTCCTGCTGCTTAGACTGGACTTCAAAAGGAAAAAGGGGAGCTGGGTCTAAGCAGAAAGAGGTTGCTGGTAGGGCAGACTGTGCATCCTGCACTTAAGAGTGGAATCCACCTCTCAGAAAACAGAGATTCCGAACGACGACTCAGGTGAGAATTTCCTCCTTGAGAACAGTGTTATGCTAAACAGTTTCACCCTACTTCAGTTTACAGTATTCCTTTAACAGGTTTCAAAGCAGATCTCAGTGCTTCCCTAAGCTGAAATTTGGGAGCCAACTCAAGAGCAGGCAGCACTCAGTGTCTTCTAACAGCTGACCTGAGGTCAATCTTTCTCTTCACTTTTCTTCTGGCCACCTCCACCTACTCCTACTGTGACTGCGTTTCTGCAACACGTGTAACCTTTGTTTCCCTGCCTGTATAAATACCCATGAAAGCTCAACAAAAAAGTACTTCAAAAAGCAGAGAGAAACAAAAATGTCTCACACGGCCACATTTCTTTTAACCCTTGGGCACAGCAGCACACATGGTTTAACTAATGCTTAGAACGAAGCCTTCAGTGAACTATACAAAAGTACTCCATGTTTTAAGCAATTATATTTAGTTATCTAAATCCTTCTGAGTGTTATTTAATAGCCAACAATAAAAAAATCTTTATTAAAAATGTTGAAAGGTATAAAACAGTAACTGTAAATTAGCAAACACCAAATTTTTTTTAAAAAAGCAGTTACTCTCTTTCCCTCACACAGCACAAGCAGCAGTAATTTGCATATTGTTACTCGCTTTCAGCCACCACGCTGACCTACATCACTGGAGACAAATTTTTAGCTTGTTTTCTAGAGTGAAATAACTAAGAAATAACTCTACTAATGTAACTCAGGGATCAAAAACTATGTATGCCATGTTAACATGTGACCCGATAGCTCCTGTCGCAGCATGTCGGAACCGTGTTACTTCCAAAGCAAGTCCGAGTCACTTTCGTGGCTGTAAGTCAGCGTCGACCGAATGGGCTCATTTAAGGCTAAGGCGTCTTCCCGCTCTGAGAGGTGCTCCCGTGGGTCCAGCGGTCTCACAAAGGTTTCCTTTTTAAAAAATATGTCTTCTGTTATACTTCAACTATTTCATTCCATTGATCATTTTCTTGCAAATAGAAATGAAAATATCAGTCCATACTATGCTTTCATAAACCTATAAAACCAGAAACAATTGAATTATTGATTAAAATTTGATTCTGTATTTCTGAAAATGAGATCTATTAAATGATTCTTTGGGCTAAGGTGTAAAGCTGTTATCACAGGCAAGGAAAGAAATACTGGAACGCTGCTAATATTACAGTAACTGTGATCGTCTTTAGAAGCAGCCAGTGAGGTCTCGATGCTGACTGTCCTTTCCTGACGTGATGAACAGAGCACCCACCAGAGGCAGAGTCTCTCCCCCGTCCCTTCTGTTCTCCTGGACACAAACTGAGGGGACTGTCTCGGGGGTCTGTGGAACCTCAGCGAGCATTCTCGACAACCACGAGCGCCAGCCGTTACCCCACCATGAGGAGAAGGAGCCTGGTCTGAGGGCTGAGGACCAGGTCCCAGGGGCCTGCCAGTGACATGTGACCCCGCACCTGCAGTCCCCGCTGCCCTCCGCCCAACAGCTGTAACTTGGACACCGGTTCCAAGTCCTCTGCTAGGAACTGAGCACTAACGACTCACACCAAGCAAGGGAGCAGACGGCCCCAGCCGAGGTGACAGATGAGAACAGGAAACCGAGGCCCTAGTGGCGTGTTGTCTTTAAGCTGTTAGGTTTGAGGTAATTTGTTATGTAGCAGCAGGTGACCAATAAACATGACACGTAGGTTTCCAAAAGCCTCACAGCCGCGCACAAGCCACCGCGCCCCGCTCCTGACCCGGGCGCGGCACTGGCTTCTCTG